AGGGTCTGGAGTGTCATCATTGTTACAGAGAATGTAAACAATGTCCGATTCCTGCCGCTGATCATTTTACTGCCTCTTCAAACTGCTGCTAAGCTGTGGAAGCTTGGAGACCTGCATTGCAACACCAGGGAGTGTTTTTTCATGGTCATATAAAGAGATATCTTTCTAAATGATACATAAATTATAATTATTTATACTAGAAACATATTATTGATATTAGGACACTAAATAAATCATACAATTCTTGTTGAATATATATAGTTCCCAGCAAGGGGGTCAAACNGTATGGATCACTTGGGTTGTTACCAACATCTGGTGAAAATTTCATGTCATTAGCACCTCTAGTAATATATTTACTGAGAAAAATGGTGACTTTTTAAATACTTATTTTACCCACTGTATATGGGAAACCACAATATTTAATACTTCTGCTTTTTTGTACATCCAGTTATTTATTAATTAAATGCTTTGAACTGACTGCATGGCCAAGGAAAGTAAGGCTGCATAGTGTGCTACAGCAACACCATTATAAAGTGATTTTTTTAATAGACCTTCACTGTATTTGAATATAGCTGAATATATTTGTTGAAGGCTCTTACAAGTTCTTACAYGCTCACAGCACAGCCTAAACACGTTCCCTCAGCTGGATCTGTTTTACAAGCAACATTGGTAGAAATAATCGCATATAAAAAAACAGATCAGTCGAATCTAAAAAAACGAAATACTGAAATCCACATTATTGCTCATATTTTCTATTAAAACTGCAGAACAGTTTGAGCTGCAAACTGTCTATTTAATAGACTCTATTAACTACAACATTATTACGCCTCGAGGCAATTTACAAGAGAAATTTTAGTGGAGTTTCCAGAGCAACCAGCCAACYGGTGCAGACCCTGCCAAGGTTATCACAGACGTGTTTGACGACAGATTTCTCAGAATCACGTCTAACCTTCTGACAGAACTGATCTCTGCACCCTAACGATGGTGACACCCAACACCTACTTCTCCCTCCACATCAGGTTTCATCGCTTAAGATGTTTGCTGCAGTAAAAACTTCCTCCCTTAGCAGCAACATACACAGCTTTTTTTTTTTTTAAATTATATGAGGGGATTAATGCGACCTTGTGGGATATCTTCAGAAAGCCAGATAACTTTAGGCTAAAATGACTAAATGCAATAAGATTATAAATGATCAATCCTMCGATTTTGGTCTTAGACCATGCTTTGCAATAATTCACAAGTGTTATTTCTTATGCTGATTCAGCGTCAGTGGCTAATATATGCTGTAATATGGTGATAATTATCACCTCGAATGATCCAAGCTGCTAAATATGTTTTACTGAATTTTAAAAACCAACAGATGTGTTTCCGCCGCCTCATCAAGTCCTTGTTTACAGTGATTATTTCGTTTTTCAGCAAAAATGTCTCACATTTATCACATTCTTATTGATTATCATTGATAATTTATGTGCCATCACATGTAATGTTTTTTTTCTTCTAAAGATGATTTTTTATTTATTTTCCATCATTGCTCAAAGATGACTCAGATGTGACATATAAACAAGAAAAGTAGTCAGCGAAAGTGATCAGAGAAAGATGTCAGTTTTTAAAGAAAATACAAGGTAGAAATTTTTAAAAACTCATGTTACAGAGCTGCAACAACTTCAGAGGAATTTCTAGAACGTCTACGTTGATTAACACAGGATTTAAACCAGAAGTGTTAGTTACACAAGAGGCTCAAAATTCAAAACTTTGTCCAAGCCAAGAGACGATTTCGGTCAATATAGTTTCTGAAGAAATGTTATATAACAAATTATTTTTATAGAGCTACAAATTATATTTTCCAAATTTTGTTTTATGTAGCATTTAGAACACTCACAACCTAGATAAAGAATAAATAATAAATCTAGAAATGCAAATCATTAGCATTCAATCCTTATGCCTTATTTTCCTCCAACTACTTTTTCATTTAGATACATTTTATCACAATCCAGCTGTCCAGCTGTCATGAGAAGACTACAGAAAATACAGTGACAAAAAGAGAAACCATCAAACTATTTCACTTTTAAAGTACTGACTTTGGGGCCAGATAAAATGTAAAACCTGCCAGATTTGGCCCGCGGGCCTTGAGTTTGACATGTGGTCTACAGCAACAGTTTCCAAACTTTACAGCTTTTGAGCCACAAACTAAAAGTAGCAAAGAACTGTGCCCCCAATGTCTGGGTGATGAACAATTATCAGGTCAAATAAASAAGTGTATAGTAAAAATATTGATTACGCTAATTACATCCATTTTAAGTTACTTCTAACTAATGCAAACAAAACAAAACAAAACCATTTTTAGTAGTCACTTTTAAATGTGTTCAATCCTGAAAATCCTTTTCAGATGCCACTTTGATGTTTTGAGACCCAAAGTGGGGTCTCGACCCCAACTTTGGGCACCACTGGTCTGCAGCATTAAAAGACAGTGATGTATTGTAWATGCTTTAACTGCTGTGTTTTGATTTTATATTAGTGCATTAACATTACTATTCAGTCACTTTTGCATTTTAACTCATAATCATTACATCTACTTCTGTAATTTCCTTCTGGGATCAATCAAGTTTTTTAAAACTGAATTATATAATATGAAATAATCATTTTATGTATTTACTCTGTGGGTGTTTTTTGTTATTTCCCTTTTCTCTGTGTAATTATGAAGCTTTGCTCTGATTTGCAATAGCCTGAATAAATAAAGATTCTCTGCTTGAAAAAAAAGGTTTGCAGGTTTGTGAGGGTTACAGGAAGTGACGGTGTGTGTGTGTCTCGGATGATCTTTGTCAGCCAATAAACGTCTTTTAGAGGMAGGAGCACCTTGTGACTCGTGACTCTTGCATTACCTCACCCAAACACAGCTGGCTGCCAACATATTTTATTTTAAGGATTACAATCCTCACTGAAGCAGCGAATCCTTTGATCTGATTGTGTTTTTATCAAAMTGAAAGAGCTGACCTAAGAGTTCTCACAGAGTTGACTTTTTGTTGACAGATTGAAAGTTCTGTAAAGTTTAAAAATTGTTCTTTTAAAAAAAACACTGAAAGTCTTTACTCGAGGTCACTGGGTTACATATGCTGGTATTTAAAACTTTATCTGCTTTCTAGTTCTGTGTGATTTCAGTTCAACCAATGAGAAAGCAGGAAGTCTTCATCTCACGTTTAGGTGGAGTAGTAGTCACAACATGACACATTGTGTCATGTTGAGTGAACACATGTGAGAGTGAAGTCAAAGTATTTTTATGAGTGTACACACTGAAAATTGTTTGTTGGTTGCCTGGGCAACATTTACCAGGAGATATGTGTTTCTGGTAAGGCAGCCTGGCTGGTTCACTAGAAATCATGTGAGGTCTTTCTGTTTTTTTTTCAGTTACAGTATGACAGTATGTCTTGTGATGTCTCAGTTGGTACAGCTGTTGCCCCTCAGTAAGAAGGTTTCCCGATCAAATCCTGGCGGGGATCCTTTCTGGGCAGAGTTTACATGTTCTCTCTGTGCATGCGTGGGTTTTCTCCAGGGACTCTGGTTTCCTCCCACAGACCAATAACATGACTATTAGGCTAAGTGGTAACTGAGTTGTCCTTAAATGTGAGTGAGACAGTGAATGGTTGTTATATGTGTGGCCCTGTGATGGACCACTGTGACCACTGTGACCACCAGTGACCCTGAGAGGAAAATGGATTGATGGGTCTATTTGTAGCATTTTTTAAGCTGAAAGAAAAAAAATAAGAGCACAAAATGTTAGATTACTATGCCATCACAAGTCTTGTTTTACAAACTGAAAGGGTATCGGCCTTTTGTTCTCATTTTGGGAATTTCCAATAGACAACATAAAGCTCCACCTCTGATGTTTTTTCTTTTGTCTTAAAAATACCATCAGGGTACATATTCACTTGAATATGGGATTTTCCATAAGTTAGCTTTATAAAAGTAAAGAGAATATAAAAAAACAAACAAAAAAACAGAAAGCAGGTTTGAAAATAAGAGGCTACACCACATTCAACAGCTCCAGATCGTCTCAGGACAGACCACATGATCTGCTGTAGTACAGTATTAAACCTGGAACATACATAATCCTGTTTAAGTTCAGACTCAAGTTACTAGAACATCGTTAAGTGTTCTGTGGAAAAGATTCAAAACACCCCTCATTTGTTTTTGTATTTACATCCAGTGAGCCAGAAATTGCTAAGCTTTATGAAATTTATTGAGAAATGCATCATTGCTCTGCCGATCATCAAGTTTTCACATATTGTCTTAATAGGAATGAAATTACTGGTGAGAAATAAGAGATAATGTAAGATGACTTCAGTCTTTTGCAAAGTAAATTATAGCATATTGCTTCTGACTCTGTGTAAACTTCTACTGCTCTAATATAGATTTGTTCTAAATGAATTATAAATGTAAAACATTTTTAAAGTCACTTTTCGACATTAGTTGTCTTTTACACAACAGTGCCCTCTGCTGGTTATAGGTTCTATCTTCAAGTAATTCTATTCTCAACAGCTTGTCACTGTTGTGACAAATATTTAATCACCTTTTAAGAAAACAACTACTGGCAAATTGTAATACTGGTAAATCTAAAAGTATGTTTGTATTTTTGTGAAAGGTTGCTATAAGAAAACGCCTAAACATACAAATTAATATTTTTTTTGACTTACTTAGTGATTGAGTTTATGTCTTTGTGACTGTATACGAGAAATAATAATATTAAAAACAACTATTAACAGTAATAGCAGTGCAAAACATTTAGGACAAGAACAGAGGTCGAAATTCAAGTAGAAGAATGTACTTGAACTGCGCCATGTTTGACCTTTAACCTTAGTGCGTGCGCTCGTTCTCGTGTAACCTCACGTGCACGAGCCCGACAGCTCAGGCAGTTACTGCTAGCTGTGTGCTGGAGCCGCGGGTTGTGGTAGGTTTTTTTTTTTTTAAATGACCTAACTTTATTTTCCCACCTCGTTGCTGTTAAATATGTGTTTTTAAAATCTTATTCGAATTGAACAGAACCTCCAGTTTACGGTGTTAATTCATAAAGTAAATGGCGTTCACAAACTAAGTTAGCTAGTTTCGGAAGTGCTCGCTGGAGTCCCCACCGTCCGAGGATTAAAAACAAAACAAAACAAAACAAAACAAAAACTCAAGGTTGATTTTTTTCGTTACCACCACTCTTATTAGATATAAGATTTTTCCAGTCGTGGTAAGGAAAACAAAGTGGTAATGTATTTGTCCAAAAATGCGCTAAAATGTTAGCATTTTTAGCTAATGTTGGCTAACAGTCTGTTGACGTTGTGAACGAAGGAACTGAGCTAATTAAGTTTTATTTACTTATTTATGTCATAAAACGGTACTTCAGTCAATCAAATAGTCTATAGCAAATTACTATTGACGCATATTTAAATAATTTATTTTATACTTAGAACAATATTTTTGAATGACAACCTCTGATTTTCGTTACAAATGTTTGACGCTTCTTTCAAAGGAAGAGCGTTATCAAGATATAGCGTTTGTTATAATTGTTGTTAATAAGTGTTATAATTACATGTATTGTTGTGTGTGTGTGTGTGTGTGTGTGTGTGTGTGTGTGTGTGTGTGTGTGTGTGTGTGTGTGTGTGTGTGTGTGTGTGTGTNTGTGTGTGTGTGTGTGTGTGTGTGTGTGTGTGTGTGTGTGTGTGTGTGTGTATATATATATATATATATATATACATACATACATACATACATACATACATGTAATTATAACAATGCTTCATTATATAAGATGCAAATATTTTGGGAAAATGACAATTATTCAAAAGTTGTTGCTACTCCTTATTCCCTTTTGGTCACGTAAAGTAGTTATTTAGATCTTTGAAGTTATGTTACATTTTTTTCTTTGGATATTTAGGGACTTCTTGTTTTCTGTTCTTGTTTCTGATGTTTTCAGACTATCATGTTTCATATGAAATTTTTCTCAGTATTTTTTCCTTAAATAGTAGAATGTGGTATTTGTAAGCATTTTTTGAAAAAAAATTTTTTTGTCTTCTAGATATTTGACTGCCTTAAGGAGATAATTACTAACAATGTGTTGATGACCATGGCTCATACAGTTAAAAGTGAGTACATTAATTTAAGCTTGTTTATTTATTATTTTTTATATAGTTGGTAGGATCACTTGTCTTTTTAAGAGCTATTAGTAACATTCCCTTAAAGAAATTTATTTGATATATATTAAATTCTCTGGAAAATAACTAAACATAAAACAATTCTTCAGACATGCTGCAGGTTCATCAGAGCATTTGTGCCTTTTCTTGTTTTTAATTAAAATTTTTGTGTTAATGATTTTTTCTGTACACGTCTGGAGGGATTTATTAAGTTCCACTTTCTCTCTGATGAGACATTAATAAAACACGTATACCACAGGACGCGTATGACAGAAAATTTTAGTGGGTTTTGAAACTGAAACTTTTTTTATATCACGGTATACTTTGAAACTGGTAACCTGCTCATGTCTAGTTGTATTGCAGTGGGAAAGAAGTGTTTCTGTTTATCCTCCTTACTGATAAAGTTTGAATCTTTTGAAGTAGGTACAAGAACTAGTGATGAAGGCAGTCTCTTAGCACAAGTGTTGGTAGTTGCCAGATAATATATTGTTTCGTTTTTTTTTTCTCCTCAACAGATAAGGACAAAATAATCCACTCAAACGAAGTGTTCAGCAGACTTTCTCCACTAAATGTTGAAGACTTGAAGCCTCAATCTCAGTTTTCCCAGAAGCTCCCACATGATCCAAAGCGCAGACCTTCAAAACCATTTTCTAACCCATTTGTTAATTTTCAAGTAACTATAGTTAATGACTCAATGAGAAAAAGAAAGCTAGATGATGCCAGTTATAACACTGGCGTCAGCAGTGAGTTTAAAAAGCCCCGCTGTCTGAGTGCTTTGTCCCCAGACCTCGGCTGCTTCATGGATTTTAGCAGTCCTCTTTCAGGGAGGGTTTCAGCATCTGCTTTTGATGCCTCACAATCCCAAGTGAGCGAACATACTCAAGCTTGCAGTAGTGAAATTAAAGAAACTCTGAGCTGTCGGCTGGACTTGGAGCGTGCGAAGTGTGGGTCTTCCAGAGATCATGCAGTTGAAGTGGAGGATGTGCAGCTGAGCGCTAGGAGTGAGAAGCACCTGATAAATATTTCACGTGATTTTGACTGTGATGTTGATGACATCTTGTGCCTCAAACTTGACAAAAAAGAAGGGCAAAAAAAAGCAAAAGCTGACCTGAGAGCAGCGGAGGAGGACAAAGGTTATGATTCCTCAWTTCCTCCAAATGAAAATAAGGAGGAACATAATGCTGAAAATCCACCAGAGCTTCAGTGTCAGGAGCAAACACCAGTGTATGGTCAGCATTCCTCTAGCTTAGCTAAAGACTGCAGTGCTTCTGTGAGTCGGCCACTGTTGGAGCCTGTGAAATCTGAGGAGTATTTGGAGGGGGACGATGATGTTTTGATTATTGGGAATCCAATATTCGAGTCCTCTTTATGTCAATCAGATGCTACAGATGAGCCCGTTTCTTTCAGTCAGACTTTTGTTGATGACACAACTGTGGACAGTTTTTATGAAACCACATTGCCTTTGCAGGTGCAGGTAAGTTATTTTAGTTGTTCAGCCACATCAGGAGAATAAGCTTATTTTGTCCTGTATTGTACATAATGTGGATGCCCACACTTAAAACCTGCTATTTTTTTTTAAGTTGAAATCAAAAGTGGTGGCTCCAAATGTGCCTGAAAGCATCGGAAAACAAGCATCTCCTCCACCTCAGAAACAGAACACAAATTCTTCAAACAAGAAGAACAGGAAGAAGACTTTTCAGAGGGCTGAATCTGAGAGACAGAGGTACTGTAGTCACTGCTCTCGCCTCTAGGGAGCGCAATGTGACCATATCAAACGCATTGGGGACGTTTTGGGCAACTGTTTCTAACCTTATTTCATCTGCACCTCCTGTACCTTTGTTTAGTGTAAACATATAAATGATTTAGGTCCAAAGAATGTCACGTAGGGCTTAAAATAGTTGTTTTGACATCAACAGTAATGTTTTTTTTAGGTCAAAAATCTGTGACGACGAGCTGGAATGGGAACGTCAGAAAAGACGGTATGTGTTTTCTGTCAGAAGTCACATGACTGAGAACGAAGTGACAACTCAAGGTAGGAAACTAGTGTCTAAAATAAGGAAACAACACTGTAACATCTTCTMTATCTGCTGCTCCCTGTAGGATTTGCCACAGAGGATCATCTGACCCTTGCTGTAGCATCTGCCTCTGTTACACCAACCTTCCTAAAGGCCCTGTCACACTACTTACACAACTTATGCCAACTTAGGAACATTTTAAAGACACATACGTTGAAGATGGAATAAAAAAAATCAACAGAAGCTTTTCTGCGTGTACGTAATGGAATTCAAACAAATTGGTCCAATATGTAACTTTTATTAGCAATTTAGACATAAAAAAATGTTTCATAAGTTGGCACAAGTTGTCTAGAGTGACAGGGCCTTAACAACATCCATGAAACTCCCCTGTAGTCAAGCTCTCCTCCATCATCATCATTGCATCTTTATATATATTATATCTAATATATGCACCATCTCTGCTATGGACATGTTCATATAATCTCAGTCTTACGTCAGGAAATGACCCTTAGTAAGAATTATTTAATGCCCTTTATTGCTTTTCCCATTTGAAATGGATAACTGTACRAATTCAAAATGTTTTAACATCATATATTTCAGATCAAAGTACTGTACTGTGTAAATGTCCAGTTAGGGATGAATACCATTTGAAAATAGTTTAATTTCACAGATGACATAAATGTTTGTTTCACTGGTCAGAAAGCAGGATGAATTTTACTTGTGAGTCTGATTGTAAAAAAAAAAAAGTTTGCAGCCACATCATAGAAAAATAAAACCAGTAAYTTGCAGCTGTGCGCTCATTTGAGTGTACGACTGCAAGTTTTCTTGCAAATTTTAACTTAATCTTGTCCCCTCCTTGTTGCAGTATTGGAAAACTTTAAATTATTTTTATTTCATTTTTGACATCAGTCTAATTGAAAATAATAAAATCTCTAAACAACTCTCCCCCACAAGGATACATGACTGAACTTCGAGACTTAATGACCCTCGTGGCTGGTCAGACTGGATCCAAYGGCTCAAAGTGGCAGCACCCTTCTGATCTCACATGCAGGTAAGTCTGTTTTTTTGTTTTGTTTTTAAGTTCGTCTTCATGAAATCTACTGTATAGCACAAGTTTAGAGACAAATGTATTTAAATACACTTCTCAAAACCTGTGCTGTTTTTCAGAAACTACCAGTGGCGGTTTTGCAACGAGATGCCTTGGATGACCCTCAGTGAGTGGCAGGCCAAGAACTTGATCAACCACAAGCGCTTCAGCAAAGTCCCCAAAATTTTCGAACGAAGCCCATTTCCCTAAATATGTGTGTGTGTGTGTGTGTGTGTGTGTGTGTGTGTGTGTGTGTGTATTGACAGCCATGCTCAATGTGCGTACATTTCAAAATCCGCGTTGTTTTTCACCTCTTTTCAGCTTTTGAGATGTCTTTCCCATTTTCTTATATTTGTGGCATGTAAGATTTGTTTTGGTGTGACTTTAAATGTTGCCCTTTATTTTTCTGTCAGCCTTATGCATGCCTTTTTTATAAAACAAATGCATGTTTTAGGAGTTTTTCATGTTAAACATTTGTCGTGTTCACTTTGAATAGATGTGAAACACTGCATGTTTTATTGTTTTCCTTATCTGTTCCTGTTGTTTCACATGGTGACTGGAGTCTGTGAGGCTGTTTGATTTGGCTTGGTGAGAAAACAGTAATAATTCATGGCCTGTTGCAGCTCTTGTATTGATTTTGCAGAATGGTGCTATGTTTTTGTCAGCTTTGTCATCCATGTACAGTAGTTTCTGAGCTCTGTGCAGGTAGAAGCTGTCAGATTCTGAGCCCACATATATGGAAGTTATCAGTATGGGTCCCCTGCACTGAATAATGCAGGTTGYTTAAGTCATGCTGTCTGTTCTGATGGAGTGACTTGTCTGAACTGTGGGACACGTGTGCAGCTTGTTTACAGCAGTGTTTTCTCCTCAAGAGCAGGATCTCTGCAGAGAGGAAGCTACTGTTGGTCTAACATCCCATACAGTCGTCTAGCTGTGTTCGATATTCCAGAATTAGAAGRAAAATACGTTCAAGCAAACGATTGTGTTCTGTTTTGGAGGAAATTTATTATTTTTTTGTTTATTAAACACTTTGTCATGCATTAACCATGTTGAGGTTTTTCTCCAGGAAATTTTGATTCCTTCTGTTAATGCAAATGCCTTTTTGATTTTTTTGTTTTTATGTGTGTGTATGTAATGAAGAAAACATTTGACAGTTGAAGTCTAGTGAAGTTTGAGCTTCTTATTGTCTTGTGAAACTATTTTTCTTAAAACATTTTCAGATTTACCAAAAGCACACATTTTTTTTGATTGGAAAATATTAAAACTTTATTTCATTGAAGCATTTACAAGTAAGCATACACCATTGTCTTGGTAATTGAAGTGTAAATCTTGTGCATAATAGTTAAAACCATGCTAGCCCTCATGACTGCTGTACAACATGATTATAAATATGAAAGCATTAATAAAGCAAAAAATTTTTCTGTTTTCTAAACCATGCTTGTGGAGCTCATTCCTGTTTTTTCAAAACCCCAGGCAACTGGTGGGCTGGGGGATGTCACAATTCAGTGTTTCTCATCACAGAATAGTACATTACTGTAACCAAGCATATTTATTTTTTACATACAGCAACATAACACGTTTTGGGCTTTCCTCACTGAAATAAAATCCTTAGTGTTAGGAGAGGTTTAACCTCGAATGGCTCAAGTGGAATGTTTTCTTACAGTCGTCACCATTTGTTGAGTGAGATTAAGAAACCAAAAACTATTATGTTTTAAAGAGAACGCACCTATATAATTTAATTCCATGTTTTAATTCAGAGCATCAGGTAGTACTGGCTGGCTGTTTTAACAAGCATTTTCAGTTGAAATGAGCAAATTATGGCCCTTAATATGAAATGGAAGTGAAAATCAACATTTTGTTGAATTAAACTGAAAAATCACCGTATTGAAGGTAACAAAAAATGGAAAAAAAATGTTTTGGATAAAAGCTGAAACTTCTAACGTGGCAGATTATTATATATATTGTTTTACAAAGCAGTTTTCCACAAACCAGCAATGCGTTAAATGTCATATAGACTTTCTTTTTTGTGTCTAAAACGGGTGCAGGTAACAAAATTATATTTGACTAAATCACACGTTATGCAAGACCCCTGTAAATAGAATTATATCATATAAAATGTTCCGCAGTCTCGTGTCAGCTGAACTGAAAGTAATGAGATGCAGAAACCAGTTCATCATTTAATCAATCTATGAATGACCTGCTGAGCCATTAGAGTATGATGAGAATGTCGATTAAACTTCCAAACAACAGTTCTTTCAGTTTTTCTGTCACTTTTAATAACAAAAAAGGAAGCCCAGCTACTTTTAGTTCACACACTCAACTGACTTCTAATCAACATCAATAAACTATTTCAAGTGACTTGAAGCAAAAAGACAAGAAATTCTACTTCAGATGCTTAACTGATACATTTTATAAGAAATCTATTAATATCTAACAAAACCTGAAATCAAAAGCAAAATCTTGAAGCAATTAAACTTGCTTATTTGGGAGATGTTTATGGGCTGTATTGTCTAATCAATCTTGGACTAATAGAATTTCATTATGTCTAGAAATTAGTTGATGTAAAACATTTTAGACCTTACCATTTGTCTTGTTTTAATAATCAGTCCTAAAACTAAAGGAACATCACAGTATGAGGTGTTATAGATGACATGAAGCCAAGCTGAATAAATAACACAGGCAAGGAGTTGAAAGAAAAGAGATTTTCCCCAATCTGATGACGATGGAAATTATGTTGGGAAGCTGCAAACGTTTAGGCTTACCAGTTAAAAGTTTGAGAACTTGGAATGGCTTCCTAAAATAAGCAGGAAATAAAATGACTCTAAAAATGAACACGAAGAGCCTCACCTGTCTGTGAAATGGTAGTGAGGACTGTGAAGTATCCAAATAATTTGGATTACAGTATTTACAATAGTGGCGCAAAAGGAGTTTGCAAATCATCAGAAGATGATGATACACAGTTTCAAACGTTTCCAGTAGAAGTTCTACTCATTTAAACAACCAAGGCAGTTCAGGAGGAATGTAAACCAAAAAAAAAAGGTACTTCCAAGCGGGTGCCATTGTGATCTATGTTGTTGGCAAACTTCAAACAGAAACACCCATGAATAACTGTTAGTRCGTGGATGGATGTCTATTGATTAGAGAGCCTCCTTGTGGGAGCAGTGTTCCTGGGGAGAAATGGCTTTAACCTTGAGTTCTGTTAAGTTTTCTGCAAAGTGCTGATCACGCTGCAGCAGAGCACCGCGCCGACAAGTTTGTCCTGGCAAAAGCTAAATAAGCGTTAATCAGTCGGTGGGGCCCCAAATGAGTTCCACCAGCCCTGGCTTTAAATGTGGCCTTTTTACTCTATCAGTCGCTGCTGATTGGAGGAGCACGGGCTCGAACGTCTCCCTGTCTTTATTAAAAGAAAAATACGGGAGCGAGAAGCGGGAAATAGTGATAAAAATCCTCTCTTCCCTCCTCTACAACCATCATTACTCATTCACAAAACCCTTTTTCCTCTGTTAGTTATTCCTTCTAATAAAAAAACCCCATCCTTATCCTGAACATAAACCGCACTGCAACCGACTTTAATAAAAGTACAGGAGTAGAGGGATGTTTTCCAAAAGCTTTTCAAAAAACAGCTTTTAAATCAAAAGGAATAATCGTGAGCTTCAATAACTTCTTATATTAAAAAACGGCAAATCCGTTTCAGTCTTATTCTCTTAAAGGCTCCCTAAGCCGACACCAAGGAATGACATTTAAAATGTATTTACACATCAAACGCCTGCCCTTTCATCTAAACACAGCATCATTTTGTAATAGATCTCTTTACGATACAGACACACACTCATTTAAATACTGAGTAAATAATATGCCACAGATATGAGATACAGGGCCTTACGTTCAAAGTGATAAATCATAAGGTACAAGTATTTTTAAGGCAGCCTTACTGAGTTTAATGCATCCGTTAAACCCACCTCACCTCGATATTTATCCTCATAAACATGGAATTTGAACACATTTCGAGTTTTTAAAAAGTCTGAATAGAAGCCCTTCTGTCTCGACATACGCTCGAGATGTCGTAAAGAAGTCTCAGGGTTGCAAGGTTTTCTTTGTCATGCTTTGCCGACAGAAGCCAGAGKTTTTTTACAACAGCGCTGAAAGGTTTTCTTTTGGGATTATCTGAAAAGGTTGCCCTAGGTTTGTTCCAGCGCTCTGGATGTGCAGCGTGTTCACCGTTCGCATGCTCAGAGCTTGTTTCGGAGGATGCAGAGTTTGAATCTTGGCTCCCCTTTGCTTCCACGGAGGGCCGTTATTGCTGTTTTTTTTTTTTTCAGGGATCTTCCTCAGCGTCTCTGCAGAGGCACGTCTCCAGCAGTCCGTCGAGTCCAGCCCCRTTTATGGTTAATTAATTAGATGAATGGACTCCATTAAGGGAGTTCAGCTCCTCTTGAGAATACCGTGAAACCCATCACCCTCAAAAAGAAAGACACCAGGAGATACTAAAGGCTCATTCTGGGTGTGGAATGTTATATTTAAGAAGTCTATAATAAAAGTACAAAATAAGATGAGAAATTCAGACTATGTCTCAAAGAAATTTGGTGCGTGAGTTTGGCTAATCCYTCTAAAGTTGCTCCGATGTTACAGTGAATCTCAGAAATGACTGTGGATTTCCTGAATGGAGCAGCAAATACTGTCCCTGTAAAAAGGTACTTAAAAAACTGATATATGAAGTGTAAGCTCACGGGTGGCATGTTGTTCAATTTGAAGATAAACTACATCTTGCTAATGACTAAAAAATACACAACACAAGTTAATAAAAAAAAGGTAAAAAGGACTATTTAAATATTTCTGTATCACCCAGAAAGAATAAAGATCCGTGTGTGTGTTGGTTGGTGATGGTCTGAAAGAGCCAGGATAGGAAAGAGGGTCTGCTGATCAGTTTTGGTCCCTGTGGGGTTTGGTTTATCTGCAGCGTCTCCASAGCAGTCCTGATAACTGCTACCCCCACGGTTCTGTCACTGAGCACAGAGCAGCTGCAGAACTCCCCCTGCGGTCTCTCCACTGCTAACCTCAGAGAGGCTCRAGCTGGCCCAGCTCGACCCGTGCAGCCTCACGTCAGCACCATGACTCGTGTTAAAGAGGGACCAGGCTCCATCAGGAGGCCTGAAGTCCCAGCATCATCCCTCCAAGTGGATGACGGGCCTAAAACGGGCTCACGTTGAAGTCTTTTGGGGGAAGAGGAGACGATCACACCTCAATGATTTTGACAGATGGCATCCGGTGGTGGTTGTTGTTMTTAGGAAACTGCTGGATGAAAAATCATATAAGAAGATTAACACCACAACAAAAARCATACAGAAACAAGAAAGCATGAAAATGCCTCTGAACTTTTGTTGATGACTGAGTGAAAAAATAAAGAGCTGTGCAATAGTTTTGAACCACCTGTAATTTCTTTAAAATTAGCTTTCGAGAAGACAAACTTCCTTGTAATCTTATAAAGTGGTCTTGTCTTGCTTAACAGTTCTGAAGCTGTTGTTTAAAACTGAAAACTTATTTGAAGTTGAAAAATATTTTTGAAACAAAAAAGATTTGAAAAAGAATTTTAATTTTAATTTTTTGATTATATGATACAACAGCCTGCCATACATATTAATTATGGTACAACAGCTTGCCATACCAATTAATGATATGATACAACAGTCTGCCATAATTTTTGATTATACGATACAACAGCTTCCGATATTTTGCTATTAAAATGGCCTACATTCTTTTTGGAKTATATGATACAACAGCCTGCTATACTTTGTTAAATAAGGGAAAGGCAAGATTTTTTTCTACTTTCTGCTCCCTTTTCATTCAGTGTTTGATATACTTTGTTTTTAATGGATTTTTTTGTTTCTTTTAACGAATGAAATAAATATAATACAACCTGCCGCATTATTATATTATGTGGCACAYTGATGTGCCATTCCTTGTTAATTATATGATGCAATGGCATGCCATATATATTTAATTATGATACAGTGGCTTGTCATACTTTGTTAATTTTATGGTAAAACAGCCTTCCATACTTTGCTCAATTCATACGCAACCCTGGAATACAACACACGACACAATGGCCAACAATATTTACAATACAATATTTTTTTGATTATATGACACAACGGCATGCAATATTTTTTAATTATGATATAAAAGACTGCCATGCCCTGTTAATTATATGATACAGGTAGTTTTTAACTCAGTTTCAAAGCTTTTATTTTTAAGTGTCAAAATAGTTTTTCAGTTTCAAATCTTTTTCTTTTTTTTTCAGTTCCAAAATTTTTCTCTCTCTTAAACTTTATGGCTCTCCATAGTTGACTTCCTTCGTTTCTTTGACTGTCAATATCCCCTTCAAACACCACAAGAAAACTCGTCTCATT